CTCCAAGTTTAGAGCCTGATTCAGCACCGTGCAAACATATGCATAATTTTAAGCACATGAGCAGCCTTGTTAACGTCCATGAGATTACTTATGGGCTTAGAGTTAAACAGATGTTTATGTACTTTGCTGACCCAGGCCTGTTCCTTGCTTCTGGGATTGATTTGCACTCGCATATATGCCTTATAAAAACGGCTCACTCTGTTCCCCAAGTAGGAGGGAGCAACTCACACTGCTCTCTCGAATGTGTGTCCCCCCCCTTATCCCCCCTGTGACTAATGCTCAGAGTGGCATCACTAGGTTCCAGAAGGGGCCTGTCCAGGGGTCAGTCAGAGCGAGGTCACTGCAAAGCAGGGTTGTGGGTGAGCGGGAGCAAAGTAGAGGGGAAAAAAACAACCTGAGGAATCTCAAGAGACCCTCCCTCCTTTTCAGTACATTCACCTTTGCTCGGACCTGGAGTTGGTACAGACGCATTATACAGCTTCATTCAAATAAGTTAAAATTCATTCCTGTGTAGAATGGCCCACACAAGACTTAGGAACCATTTATGCCCTTAAAACTGGATGTAACTGGGGTTTCTATATGACAGGCCTTCTGCTGGGCCCTGTCTGGAGACTGTACATAAAGTCCCTATTTAATTTTTAAAAAGAAATTGGTAGTGCCGTGGTTACAGGGCTAACCGCACGTGTGACACCCTCTCTGGTGACTGATGCCATCCGCTCAGGTGTCAGTGTGAACAGCTTCTCAGTCACAACTGCCCCCACTTCTGGACAGAAAGTGTCTTTTAAACTGGTTATAGTCCTTTTGAGTGCCTGGTCCCGAGCACTGGGAAATAAAGCTTTTTGACTTGGCTGTATTCTGGAGGTAGGACCTTCACAACTAGAAGCTCAGGCATCGTCTCTTAACCAGCCTGAAGTGTTTACCAGGCAGTGGCTTAACTCAAGCCATTTTTGTCCTTTCCTGCTTGTGTTTTTTCCCAGCGGCCCCTATTAAACTCAATCAATAAATTCGTACAACTAACGTCCAAATAACCAGATCAACGCACAGCATTCTTAAATTCTTACAAAGCAACCTCACTTCTGTGACAGATGGCTAGTACTATCTTGGGGTAGCAGGTGTTTTAAAGCTACATGTGGCAGAAGCAGCTTTGTTCTTCATTTATGCACTAAGATGGATCACATAAGAGTAATGTCAGCTTGAAAACTGGGTGCCAGTCTTGTGTCCATTTATCTGTAATGCACTAGAGACTTGTAATTAAATATCTACGCAATGTTTGGTAGGGTGAGCCAGGACCACCAGGTTCCGAAGGATCCTCTGGATATTCAGGAGCTATGGTAAGTAGGTAGAAAGTAAATCCAATGCATTTTCACATATGCTGTGTGAGGCATTGCAGGGGATGGGCAAGAGTTTGATTAGAATCATCTAAGTAGAATAGATTCAGAATAAATACCGATCATTGTTTTCTTTTGACCGCTATCATTAATTAACTACTCGCTTATCATATGACAGAAACTGATTTGCATATTACCATATTTTTTAATGTCATTCTTATACAGTTCTGAAAAGTGAAAGTAATTTAAAATTTCTGGAAAAGCAAAACATGAAGGTACAAAACTATGCCGCTTTTTCTTCTTTCGAGGGTTAAATGAATAACATTGCATTACTTCTTCAGGGTTTCCTTGGTGAAACAGGTGAACTTGGCCCCCCAGGGAAAAAGGTAACATGAAAATATTATTCTGCTTTTATGCTAAACTTTGCTTGTTTTATTGTTAGCTTGTCCTCCCAGCCCCCTCATCCTTGTTTACCTGTCTTGTCCTACATCTAGATTGTAAACTGTCTGGGGAAAAGACTGTCTTTTGTTACTTGCAAAAAGAACAGGAGTACTTGTGGCACCTTAGAGACTAACAAATTCATTAGAGCATAAGCTTTCATGGA